GGGAGTGGTAGGGAGTCGGTCAGGCACAATGGGGATTACACCACGAAAAGGAGAGGTACAATCGGATTACGCCACTCAGTCGGTCTAATCCGATGTCTTTGCTCCATGAAGATTGAGATGCACATGATGGCAGTGACAGATGAGTCATGTCCGCCAGAGAGAGAGAGAGAGAGACAATATATATATATATATGAATATGATGAATAGTATTTAAATATATATATATATTTATACTATGTATCATATTTACAAATAGATGAGCAGAGGGTCAACATCTCGATGAAGGGTTTTTGTTTGCCGAAGTCTCGCGACCAGTACTGTAATTGACATGCATGGATATATGTAATATTGTATAGTCTTATAGTGCTGTATTGGTTTGTGCTGTTCTTCTCTCCAGATCTTTGCCACCCATGGCTAAAATATGGTTTGTGATTATCTGTGTTTAACGCGTAACGCAAAAGGCCACCCGTTCCATAGAAGGCCTCATCTCAAAGAAGGGGGGTCCGCAAAAAAACCGTTCTGCACCGTTCTGCATTCAGGTGGAATTGGCGCCACGTCCACGTCGTCGGTGCCTGTGTGTCGCTGTCCATGGCGAGTGGGACTCGCCGGGTGGGCCACTTTCGGCCATGGGGCAACGGCAGGCGGCTGAACTGGCGGAAGCATTGGAGAGGGAGGAGAAAGCGCCCAGCAGGGGGTTGAGATGCAACATATTGAAAAACAGATGAAATCAAATTGAACTAGCATGAATCGAACATGCATAGACTCTTAGACTCGCCTTTTGTGTGCAATGTGTGACTTATGGCTAATTCAATTCGGCTCATGCTATCTCGTACAGCAACCTGGAGTGTTGCGCAATTTTGGTGTTAAGTTCAAGTGACGCAAGCCACTTTGGGCACTGGGCATACTACATCATTGTCATCTAGACACACAAGTCACAAGACCCACATGACCCAATGGAATCAGCATTCCTACTGATTCCTTCTTCCCAAATCCTCAAGAAGGTGCACCCTCTACGTCCACCTTCATCGCCTCAAGTAGCGAACCCTCAACGGGCCTTGCTCGTTTGCCTTTCCACTTCAGAATTCCGCGGGCTGCCGGCAGCCATCGCTCCAGCCCTGTGAGGACCTGAGCTTCGACCGGATCGTCTCCTCTCCTTCCACCGCCTGCTGGGAGACGGCCCAAGTCCTCGCCGAGCACTTCGGGAGTCAAGGGAGCAACGGTGCTGCGTCGATGTCGGTGGCAGCGGATGAGGAGCTGGAGCTTTTACCCGGAGAGCTGGATGATGCCGGTGGAGTTTCAGCGGAGGCGGGCTGTGAAATGCGAGTGTTTGTGTTTGGGGGACTCATGTGTCATGAATATTTTCTAGAGGATTGATCAATTCCTTCGTTCTGGAAGGGCATAGGGCATCGAGCTTTCAGAAAAAAAAAAAACCAGCACGACTTCCGGAGGAGGCCCTGTTAGATTGGGAGCCGTAAAAGTTCCAAGGCTCAACTCTTTAACCGATTTTTGCAGACCCTTAATTAAGTCATAATATGCAACATGTCCTTGTTGCTCCATGGAACTTCCGCTTCTTCGGCATCACTTCCGCTGGGGAGCAGAATGGCGAGATCACACCTGAAACGATGACGTGTGGATCTTGTGCATTCAGGAGCTCCCTTTGCTAGTGGCCGCAGCCATGGGTGGCAGTGTTGGGATCCACAAGACTTGGAGTGACTGATTCCCTCAGAATGTTGACAGTTGATTGGAATTCATCATGGGATCCATCCCACTCAGATGGTAGAACCTCTCAGATGGGGATTTTTTAGCACAACAGGCTACAGGAAGGCTGGTCTTGACCCGCATGTTTTCCAGGCACGAAGACGCTTTGCAGCAGCATTCCGGCACCAGCTCGAGCAGTTGGAGTCGCTTGAGGGAGGTGTGCAGGGTCACTGAGCTGCAGTGGCAAGGTTGAACCATAGTTGAAGCGTATATGTCAATGGCACCAGGTGCATGGCTTGACCACAGAAAGAATCATCACAGCTAGGGCAGCTAGGGTTCGCTGCTAGAGCGCATCTTCATGAAGATCATGAAGCGGAAATGGGAATGTTCGACCAGAAAGCCCATGCGAATGGTCAAGAACTTCGGGATGGATCAAAACGAGTTGCCGACACCATCCGACTGCGGTATGTCGTTGACTGACCCCTAAGAGGGCGACCAGGATCTATATTCTCATCCATGTTCATTCAGACTCCGGGTGTAGACACTCCTGTGGTAACCACTGTACACGAAAGGCTACTGTGTTGCAATAGGGCTCAGAGCCGCTCATTTCCGTACAGTCATAATGTGTTTTTTCTCCTTAAAGTAGTATCTTAAAGTAACCTTTTCTTTAGATCCTAGCTGGCGGTCACAGACCTCGGACAGTTTCAAAGTCAAGAAAAGTGCAGGCAGGCTGGCAGGCTGTGTCTCTATAGAGAGGGGATCTGACATGTGACGCGCCGTCAACGGGCCTTCCACGGGACCTGGACAACGGGCCCAGTGGGTACTGCACCTCTGTTTTTGAAGAGATCTGCATCTAACTGCAGGATGTCTCTTGGTCACTCACTGCCACTATCTCCAAGCCTCCGCCTGCGCTTTGCCTGCCTTGCGGCACCGGCCCATCCACACCACGCGCGGTGCCGCGTGCCTGGTGGCGCTGCGCATGCCCTCGGGGGGAGCGTGGGAGGCCTGGCTGCGGGGAGTGGGGAGCGCACAGCTTGGCTCGAGCCACGAGTTGGTGCCTTGGCTCAGCTTTGGCGAGACGATACGCACAACGTCCCAAAAAGACCTGGGATTTCAGTGACTTTTTGAACATGAGGAGATCCCCGTCAAATTTTTGTTGGTGGATATTGTTTCGCAAGGGTGGGCAAAGAGGTGCATAGTTTGGTTGGCCTTGGCCTTGGACTAGATACTGTATTCTCAAATAATTACTAATAAATATACTAAAAATTAAAAGAGTTTGGTAGGTCTCCACTTCCAAAACTGCCGTTAACATGCCTTTATTTTTCAGCTTCGACCGAGGCCAGCGCCTTGGCAGCGCTTCCACCCCTGGAGACCTGCCGTGCGACCTCGGCGCTGCGCAGCTCCTCCAGCGTTTCGAGCCTCAGCAGCTCGGGCGGCAGCGTGGCCTCCACCGCCATGGTGGCAGCAGCCGAGAACGAAGGCTTCGAGCCGCTCGGCCGGGAGCGTCGGCGTGTCGTCAGTGAACCTCGCCGCTTTTCCCCTCGTCGTCGTTTGAGTGGGGGGGCATTTGGAGGGCTTCAAGTTGGAGGATGACTATGGCTGAAGGTCGGACGGTGGTTTTGTGGGAGGGAGGGTGTTTACCCAGGAGATCGGTCACAACATCTCTATGTCATGTTGGTTGTGTGCCGGTTGTGCGGCCCTACAACCGACATTGGAACAATCTGGGGCCCCACAACAGAACCCCCGGAACTTCACATCATGTATAGAGCGTAGATGTCCAATGTCTATGTCATCTTGGTTCTTTGGTGGATTAAGACCCTGGAGCACCACGGAACCCCCGAGGTTGGACATCGTGCAGATGGTCAGATGTCCAATCTGTCTTCAGCCCAGCATCCAACCATGTCCAAGATCAACCCTAAGTCCAGTCTGACCCAGTAAAACCTGGTGTTTAAAGTCCTTGAGTAGAGTCTTTTTTTGACCAACTCCAGCAAAATGAGGTACTCACTGTAGGTCGACCAGGGCATATTCTTGTCACCTCTCAATCTCCTTCGCCCAGGAAATACCCCGCGATGACTTGAAGCCGCCCACGGTCCCCTGCGGACCCCACCATGCAATCGCCCGGAGCACCGGGAGTCGTCGTCGTAGACCCTGCAGAGCCGCGGTACGACTGGGACGTACCGCAGGAGCCACCGTCTGATCCGCGGACGTACGAGCGGTGGAAGAAGGAAGACCGGAGGTACCGCAAGGAGACTTCGGCAGCCAGGACGCTCCTTCAGGCACCGGACCATGGAGCTTAGAAGCCATGTCCTCGGTGAGGCGAATCCAAAACAAGCTCTGGGATGTGGAACATGCCCCAGGCACGGAGCTGAGCAGCCGACAGGCTGCTGAAAGCGTGGGCGAGAATTTTTCAAAGCCGGCCTGAGAAATGCGAAGGGCAGCGAGTGAAGGGCAGGATACTCAATACTCCTCCGTCCACAGCGAAGGTGGCAGCTGTCACGGCACTGGGCGTAGTTTCGGCATTATCATTTACAGCTCAAATGACAAAAGCACACGGTGGCTTTGCTGTGCTGCCGTGCTCGGGTGTTCGGTCCTAACTGTGTGTTGCACTAGCTCCGATTCTTTTTGTGTTGCACTGAAATCACTGACCTGCTATGACCTGCCCAGTATAACAATAAGCACTGGCCATGTTGATGCTTTTGGCTCAAGAAATGAGCCCGTGGCTTCCCAAACGATAGGTGAAAAAGCCTGCAGATGAGTTCTCCATATCGGTATAGGCTATAGGTCAATTGGCAACCTTCGACGGTCATCACTCGGCAGGAAGACTCCATGACAGCCACAAGCAGAGTTGATCAAACAGGTGTATTATTATATCTAGGATATGAATGGATATGATATGCGTTTAAATCAGGATGACGTAAAGCTTAAACATCCGGCAGGTCTCAAAACATGTTTTAAACAAATCAAGACACCAGATACATGGCCCGGACTTGTTCTTTGTGTGTGGCCTGCCAGCTTCATGCAGCGGTGGCCGGTTGGTTTTAAGATCAACCACCGCCGGCGACAGGACATGCATAGCTCCTCTGGAACTGACCGCTGATCTCCGACTTGTTGGTTGTCATTGTTGCCAAGAAGGGCAGGGAAAGGAGCCAGAGCACCATCCACCAGCTACCACGGGGTCACGCGGTGAACGGTGAACCGTCTCGAACGACGAGAGACGTTTTCTTGCACCCACCCGGATAGAAGAACATGGTTTTCCGCACTCAACTTCCTGCTTTGTTAGCTTAGAGACAAGGTGGGATAGGCGGATAGGCAATGTTAGCCACCAGTGATGATTTAGGGACACGCAAAACCTACTTTGCTTTGGACACTTCCGCGCGCAAGCGCATGGGCTCCATGGGAGATGGCTGAAGAGGGGAGCTGGCTTCTGACCAATCCAGAAGCAGGAGCACTGTCTCGGCTTGGAAGAAGCGTTGGTGAACTACCAGGGATCCACCACTGTTGAAGGAAGACAGTTATATGAAGCCTTTGTCCTCATCCTCCCTCCGTTCCTGACGCCGTCGTGCTTGCCACATCACCCGATCGAAGATCCGTGGGGAAGGCCAGTTGGAACTTTGGGGCAGCCCCTCAGAGAGATCTTCGAAGATCCACTTGTAACAGTCCCCAGGGATCCAAGTACCTTCTCGGGTACGGCGATTGGAGACACTCTTATGTGGGTTTTGAGGGTCCAAGTACCTTCTGAGGAGGTACTTGGATCCCTAGGGAGTACTGGTATGGATGCACCAGGAGTCACAGTACTGGTTGGGGTGCCTTTCACGAACTTGTCGGAAGTCCCCGTGAGTGGGTCCCCGTCATCCACTCACTTGGGGACACAAAAAACAGTGCAAGCAGTTTCAATAGTCAAACTCATATTCTCTCTGGAACTGGCACGGAAGTGAAGTTTACCACCTGTTTGTAGTGGAAACTGGTCTTCCTTACGGCGCCATGCCATCCACGTAACCATGTTAGCTCCAGGGAGTGTAGATGGCTGCTCTCCATGTCCTTTTCAACCGGTGGATCTTTTTACACTACCAACCGGGTTGACCAAAGCCTGGTAGAGCCTGGTTCAACTTGGGCCATCTTAGGCCCGGGGAGATTCCACGAAACATCTGAATCTACCAGAGCCCCTCAGAGGGTGGTGAATGGAGACCCCAAATCACCTCTCACCTCTAAGGCGCTATAGAAGAAATATAGGCAGTATAATGCAGTGTGTATATATATATACGTCCTTTTTTGTGGTGGGGTTTCGAGGCTCATGTGGTAGACGGTAGACGTTTGAACTGAAAAACCGTTGCTTTTGTTCCTCTTTGGGACCTTTGCTAGGACGTATCATCCAACGTCAGCATCCAACCTCAGGAGCTCCGACCGCCCGTGAGCGGCTGTGCGAATGGGCTTGGGCGGTGAAGCACTGGTGGTGGGAGATTACGGACCCCGCCGCTCGGAGACCTGCACTGGTGAGTGAGTGAGTCGGGACGCGCGAGGCACTCCCGTGTTCTGCGCAGGAAAGGCTGGCTTGTGGTGTTTTTTTGTGTTGCGATCCCCTCCAAGAAAGGATTTCATTTTGTATAGGTTATATATATATAATATTGTTTTTTGCAGACCAGAAGCGGTAGCCGCGGGGGGGTGGAGTGGTGTAGATTGTAGAAACGCAGGTTTTTGTGAGGGTAGTGATTTAGCAAATGCAAAATAGCTCCTGAAAACAATAGACAAACCAAAAAAACAACAACAAAAAAACAACAAGTTCAGACCCAAAGGACAAAAAGAAATCAGACCCAAAGGACAAACCAAAAAAAAAGTTCAGACTTATGTCTCCTGTCCAGCCTCTCCTGGGTCCCTCTCCATGGGTCTGAACTTTTTGTTATTTTTTTGGCTGGTCTGTCAAAAAGCGACAAAGAAACAATTCTAAGTTGAGCCTAATTGAATTCTATATATAGTTGAATTCAAACTGAGTTTGCAAATTAATTCTACTGTAGTTCAATTCTAATTGAATGTAATTCCCAATTCAATTCTAAGTCAATACTGTTCTACTAATCAAGCTCTAGGTTAAATAACCCTAATTCAATTCTACCTTAGTTCCAAGTCAATTTCACTTCAAGTAACGGATTTCGATTCAATATTATCATCAGAATGGCCGAAGTTCTTCTACAAGCCACTATTGTGCGGTCAAGTTTGTGTGGATACCTGAGAGTTCAGCGATCAGCCACAGAACACCGAAAACGACACCGGCCACAGAACACGGGAGTCGGTCCGCGACCGGAGGACCGGTCCGTGCAGGTGATTCTCAGCAGCCCTTGGCTTTGCCCCACTACTGGGCGCACCCTGCGAGTCCTCTGGGTCCTTGCTCAGTTCTTGGGTTGGCACCCTGGCGAGCACCGGGATCCGGATCCGGGATGGCTGCCTTCAACAAGACCACGTGAGAGGTAGAGTTGGTAGAGAGTCCTGTAGGGTGGTTACTTGAGCCAGAGCAATTGTTTTTTGACGATTTTGGACCTAGGGCCTTGAGCGGGAGCAGGGAGTGCGGATACCGGTGCCTTATGTCCAATGGAAAATTGAGTCTTAGAAGACTAGCTTTAGTCCCCAAACTTGCTGAACTAGCACATGCTGAGATTCAACATGGTTCAACTGCAAAGGTTGGTTCTGGGTCAATCCACAGGTAAAGGTCCCGGTGATGGTAGTTACCTGGTAAGTTGGTAGGGCAAAGATGCATCAATGCAATGCCAGCTTCCCCTTTATACACTTACGTCCTCAACTGTGAATGCAAAGGTGAACAACTATGTGTAGCAGGGGTGTTCAGGTTCCCATGATTTTCCATGTTCAGAATTACTTTCTGTTTGTTGTCAGAGTTGCCGTGTGTGTTTATCTTTATGTTCCAGCAATGTTCCATATGTTTTCCTAGACGAGCGGATGCATGCAGACGTGCCGTACAAGTAAAAACGTCGTTGACACGTTTCTCCTCCCAGCCAGGCCCGTGCCGACCCTGTTTCTCCGGTCGAACATCGGGAGGTCCTACCTCATCTTCCGGCATCAAGGCTGGAAGGAAGCGCTGGAGGGCCCCTTGAGGCGGAGAGCCGGCCGATCGTCCGAATTGAGATCCACGGCACAAGCTCCCCCGCTCCGATTGGGGAGCAGAACTAGTAGTAGTTCTGATATCATCCGTGTTTGGGACCATATATGACATCATGCCGCGCACGTCCGTTTTAAGGCCCTATGATTAGATGCAGCGTCACGCTTAATCGTCACCAACCCCGGGGATCAAGCTGGATCAACCTAAGGATGCCGGGACTTCCAATCAACGAACCAAGAGCCTTGATTCAGTGGATTCTTGCACTTGCAAAGTGGCTTTCGTTGCAGCTTCCTTCAGCATCAACGACCCACACCAGTGGGATCAACCGTAGTGGACCGGTGACCCGCGCTGTTTCAGTGAGGATGTTTGACTTGAAAATATCCATGGTGTTCATGGATATGAATCATGTCATACTCGTATGATTCTCATGGGTTCTTGGATCAACTGCCTTTGGATCATGAAGGAGGTTTCTTCATCGCACATGATTTAACTGTGCAACGATTAATGTGATGTTTGGTCGCAAGCTGTTTGATCCATTGTTCCTTCAGCTTCTAAAAACAACCACGGCATGACGACCCCTTTTAATACGGCTCCTTCTTTCTCTCATACTCGACTCACCTTGATCCGACTCATGGGTTGAACCATTTGGTCCCGTCTCCCGCGTGGTTCGTTCAGGGTTACCCGGGCGCGGCGATGGCGGCGCGACTCTCGCGAGTCTCCGACTCTCCACCCTTCAGAGTCTACGTGGCAGGGTGGACTTTGCCATCTTGATCTTGCTCTTGCTGGGCACGGTCTTCACCACACTGGCGAAACGGGAGGGTGTCTTGGGGAGCATTTGCCTTTGTTTGGGAGTGATGCAAAGCTTCGAGATTCTGGCCCATGCAGCTCGTCAGCGCTTGGACCTGGGACCCGAGGGGGCTCCCCAACCTTACAACCCGGTGGTTGTCGGGCGTGAAGCGGAACCTTCGTTCTCGGTGTGGGAGGCTGACAGGCTGAGGAACTCGGGTTTTTTCTGCTGTTTCTCTTCGGCTCCTGAGTCGAGATCTCAAAAAAATACGTGAAGTATAGGGCGTGGAAACATTCCACCAAACACCTTTCAATGCTTTTCACTGGGGCCGCATATGGCCGCAGTCAGCGATTTCAAACAACTGTGCGTCCTGGAATGATGAGTCATATTTGCAAGCAATCGGACACAGCACAATCGTTTCTTGTCTTCTACCAGGACCCTCCGACAGGTCATCTAGGTCTTGACCTAGGGCCTAACAAAGCCTCAACTCACCTACCCTCCTGGAGGGTGCTGGTATTTTGGTTCAAATGCCACGCGTCACTTCTCTGGACACCGGCGGGGCCGGCGGGACCCTGACCATCGGCTTTTGGGCTTTTCATATGCTGAAACACACGCAGCCAGGATGATGTAGGTCAGTGTAGGTGTGGGCACAGTTTCCAGAATTGGTTTAAAGGAACATCTGCGGGAAAACCTTATGAAAATACAGAAAACATGATGGGCTTCCTGTAGGTGTTCACTGCAGGAACCAATTCTGGGAGCACGTCGCACCGGGAGCGGGAGCTAGGAACCCCCACCCGGCCTGGGCTCAGGCACGGGCAATGACCAGGAGATGCGTTTTGAAGGAATCATGAGATGAGAAGGGTGTCATGTCTTGGTTCATTCATCTACCATAACTGAAGGGGAACATCATATGAACTATAATATGAATCTATATATTTGGAATTTGAGGTAGTTGGAACATCTTTTGTTTGGCAGTTGGTCGGGACATCGGGGTCCTTTTCAGGTGCGAAAAATAGGTGCCCCCCTCCCCACCAGCAACAAAAAAGTGGATTCTCCAACATGCAGAACCAGTGTGGACCCCTGCTTGTGCAGCCCCAAGCGAGCTTAGAAAGGTATGAGAGGAGTCTTGGTAGCCTGAGTCATTTCTGAGTCGAGTTTTGGTCGCCTGGTAGAGCAAGTTGATCCAAGGTTGCTCCGGGAGAGGAGAACCACCATTTGGTCATTGCCTTTGTGGTGCTGTGCCACAGCAATGTACACCCGGTGGCCCTCCTGATTGTGTTGATGTACTGCATCACATTTGCGTGGAGGTGGAGGGACATCATCGAGGAGATAAGCATTGAGTTTCTCGGCCTTGGACAAGTCTAGGTCTTTGATGCTCTTTGTTACCCAAAATAGCTTGCTCGTAAAAAGGGTCTTTGGGCCGTGGCGCTGTTTCGCCGCAGCGCTCTCGTTGTGATGCACATGTTCGGACTTGGTGGTCAATTGTGGCGTCGAGGATGTGGCAGACCGGGTGTTCCTGTGCCATGCGGTTTGCTCGGTGGATGCGTTTGTGTGGCTCCGTGCCAGTGAGGAACGGGAAAGATGCGTGTTGCTGGTGAGCAGCATGATTGGTGGTGTCAATCACGCGTGGTGTCGCGCAGCCAGCTGTGATGCACAGGGCTGCGTTTGCTGGTCTATAGGGCTCTATATTCTGGGCTCGATACGCAAACATTGGACATATCATGCCTTGAAGCTTCCCCCCAGCTTGTATGTGTGGTGTCACCCGTGTGCTCTCAGGATCTCTCGGATGTGTTTCGTGTGCACGCTTGCACGAGATGCGGGGATAACTCTTCGGTTGCTCTCCTGGTTCTCCTGGCGTCCAAGAAACTGGTTTCAAATGGTTTCCTGGAGGGCTGAAGCCAACTGAACAAAGTTTCATGCAACCCAAACCAGTGGTAAAGACATTGCCGTCAAAGAAAAACGCCTTGATCAAAAGCTTTTTGCATGCACGGTACGCTTTTTTGCTGGATGGACGCTTGCATGGCAGACACTCGTAGTTTGGGACATGCAGAGCGTTTTGGTCTGGGAGGGAAGCTCCGGAAAATTTGCGCCAACAGGTTTTCTGACAAGAGCCTCAGGAAGATTTTGCACTACATGGACGACAAAGATGCTCGGGCCATGATCTATCACCGGAGAGTTCTGAAAGAAACCAACCGTCAACATGATCGAACTCAGTTCAGATTCGGCTGGTGCAGGTGGTCTGACGGCCGACGGCCACACCGCCACCGAAATCATTTGAAATCCTTAGAACACCACCTGCTTTCCAAGAGGCTCGACCCAATCCAATTCCCCTCGTTTGAGGGGCAAATCATGGAATATGGGTCGGGCGCATGAGGAGATGCCAAGCCGAGAATCTCATGTTGTTTTACGCAACCATTGCATGATGTTTAGAGCACAACTGGGGTTCTTTCGGTGGACATCGTGTGAGTGTGCGTGCAACGGCTTCTGAGTGGGGTGCAGGTGGCGTTTTCTATGTTTGGACGTTTTGGGGGGCCACCTGGACTTGTTGCTTCAGCGTTCCAAGCAAAAAACGGACACCGACCACCAACCTGGATTTGGTGTTCCCTTGCCAAGGAAAGAGGCTTCTGGCTCCACAATATCCTCTTTGAGTTCATCATGTTTGGTATCTCGGCTGATTTCACCGGCAGGGGCGCTTGGTAGAGACGGTTTGTTTTTCAATGCTTTTCAGGATGGATCTGAAACCATATGATACAAAAGGCAAAGCATGCGGAGGGGCAAGCAAGGGAACACACAAAGGTATTGTTTCGAACTTAGACAGGGTGAGCAAAAGATAGCAAAAGATGCAAAAGCTACCGTGCCACGCTGTTCTTTTCATGTTTTCAAGATTGTTGTTAATCCTGAGTGGCCTTTTGCCCATAGCTGTGCGGTTACATTGAAGCGCAGTTGCACTAAAGAATGCATATGCAATGCCGAGGTGTGTGGTCAACAGTTTGAAGGATATCAAGATTTGCCAGTACATAATCCCACAGCATGCAGGATTTCCCCACTCCAGCAACAACTCCAAATATAATTCCTATCGTTGTGGGGGTCTATACTGGCTGGCCCTCACTGCCAATCACTATCCTGAGTCAGAAAAACTTCGTAGCACTTCCTGCCACAAGTGATTGTTCAAGGAGTTCTTTCAGTTTACGTACATCAAGAACCATGGAGCACTTCTTGAAAGTCCTGTCCTGTCCACTGCAGCGTCCAAACACATACCCGCCAGCCCATGCTGGTGGGTTCTGCCATGCTTGTCGATGTCAGGAGGCTTTCTTTGGGACTTCACCTGCCGCGTGAAGTGCGTGGCGTCGGGATGCTTCACCAACGGCGATCCGGCGTTGAGCGCGCAATGGAAGGTTTCAAGCCTTTACAACTTGGATGTCAGCGAAATATAGCATAATGAGTATAGCATAATGTAGACACCCATGTTTGGAGCACACGGCTTTCCTCAGGCAAGTATATATAGCAGCCGCACCAGGGCTGGGGCATCAGGAGTCGTTTTCCCATAAGACATGCACTCCTTCCATGCACAGAAGGCTGGCTTTGAGGATCCATTTCATACCAGGATCCTGATGTTTGACCATCATTATTTGGGGAGCAACCCTTTTATTTTAAATGAAAATTACAACCTCAAGATCAGATAAAATGATGAGGAAATCGAGGGTGAACAAGGTCATAAAGAACCACTGTCCTCCAAAGATGGGCATCGGAAACCATCATGGTCCTTTCTTTGCTTGGGCCCTTGGGGAACATGGAAGTGATGGAGGACCTGGCTGAAATCCAGATCAATCAGAAACAGACCTGCACTTCTCAAAAATTACGAACAGTTGGTTTGTTCCAGTTTCAGGTTTCATTGCTTCAAAGAACACACCTGGCAAACCTCCACCCCCTTTGCGAAGCCAAAAGTAGAGAGTCGTCGCTGAAGGCCGTTTTGCTTCGGGCGATGTCGAGGCGACAACGAGGACCCCTCATCAAGCCCAGTCCTAGGGCGTCACGGGAGGCTCTTTTGCTGGGCAGCAGCCATCAATAGCTGGGCGACTGGAAGTGCAGGGAGTGGGCGAGTGGGCAACCTCTTCCACCATCTTCCATCCGTTTTTCAGCTTGGGATCAGGTTTGGAACGGTGGGGTAGCGAGCGACGCTGAGTCACCGAATCGGGGGCGTGAATGAGCTTCGAGGGATTGTTGCAATACGTCATACGTTTTTGAGATGAAGTCCTTGAAGATCATGTATATACTAGTAACGTAGTATTTCATTTCGGTTGGGCAAAGCTTCGTTTTTGTGGTGCCCAAGAATCTGTTGAGAAAAAGACTTGGAGATTTGTCGGTTCAACAAGAACATGGAAAAACACACATCGGCTAGCCAAGGTGTGGTGGTTGTGGCTGGTTTGGGCAAAACGGAAGATGCTGGAGGAGCGCTCTGAGTCTGCAGAGTCCTTTTTCAACCCGTGATGCGGCCGTGTGCCTTCGGCAGGGAGCCTCTTCGATGCTTCAGCATGCTGAAGCTGAAGCAGTTGGGGCAGAAATCGGCAGAAATGAGATGAAATGAGGAAGAGTTCTACATGTTTCCAACATGTTGTTTTCTTTTTGTCTTCTTCCCGTGCCCCAAGTCGTGAAGCTTCTTCCTGCTTTTTCCCTACACGGCACCTTCCCACCACCGGACTGACCGTGGTCGTGGTGACGGTCGTGTGTTCAATTCCCCAGGGCTGGCCTCAGGAATCGGTTGAAGCACTTCTTGTGAAGAAACACGTGAAAAGCGAAAGACTCTGCACAGTTATATACCCTAGGGATCCAGTCGTACCTTCTCAGGTACGGTACGGTGATTGGAGACACTGTTATGTAGGTGCCAGGAGGGTCCAAGTACCTTCTGAGAAGGTACTTGGATCCCTAGGGATATGATGTTTCCCTAGGGCTATAGGCTCGTACCTGCTTAAAAGGTATGACTGGACCCTCCTGGCACCCGGGCCCCCAGTCCCACCTTCGAAACGAAGGTCCGACTGGAGCCCTAGGGTTTATTACATAGATCGTTCTTGATTCTTAACGGCTCTCTCTTGCATGTCGCAATAAACATGACGTTTCTTCGAAAAGAGGAGGCACATTTATTTTGCCAAGACAGGAAGCATGGGAACACATTGACACACTCCGGCCACGAGCATGTGTTTGCCAAATCCTTCTCAATTTAATGATATTTAATGTGCAATTGAAACAAAAACGACGACTTGTGCACAACTCGTGGCAGAGTGAGATATCCGAAGTTGACCGTGAAGATTACTGATGACATTCAGATTGGTTTCTCCACTGCAGTCTCCTTGACTCAGACAAACACTCCTTCAACTAGAATCTTACAGTACCAAAGAGGTGAGCCCTCAGAAACCAGTTGGAATATGTTGGAATGCCCATATATTCGGTCCTTGGAGGTGGACCATCTTGGACCCTTGGAGGTGGTCCTCGGTCCATTTCTTCGCTGCGCAGCGTGAACTGGGGGTTAGTTGACCCCCTTCAGTTCGCCAGGAGGTGAAACCCCATTGGATGAAGTACTTCAAGGAGAATCCGAGCGGATGTGAGCTACCATCCCTACACCTCGTACCGTCGTACCTCAGGTTCGGTATGACTAGACCCTCCTGGCACCCATCCCAGTCCCGAACCGAAACGAAGGTGCAACGGTACGAGGCTTAGGGCATCAATCGTGGAGTGGTCACACCACCGGTTCCTCGTCGTACCTCAATTCGGTCGGGTCATGCCATCACCTGGAGTCTATACGTGGACATGCGAGCAGGGCGAAAGGAGAGCAGGGCGAAATCGCGAGGGCGAAATCGCGAGCGCTTTTTCTCACACTAAGCTTTTGGCCCCTTGTAGAGTCAACTGGCGTTGCTCCAGGAGTCTTGGCTCAAAATCAAAGAGGGTAATATATTATATTACTTATATTACAGTACGTATTGTATATTATGTTAGTAATTATATGTTAGTTTAAAGTAACTAGTTTTTGCAAACAATCGGTATGACTCCATGGAGGGCTTGAGCCAAAGTCCGGGGGGTGGTTTTGGCTAGAATTATATATCTTGAGCAAACCCCCTGTCATGCGACTGAGCATCGTTGGCATAGTTTATCTGACTATTCTGACTAGTCTGCACGTCTCCCGAGATTTCCGTAACATGCGTTCCTTTTCGATCAAAGACTTGTCACTGGATCTCAAGACAAACATAGATGTGCTTGTGCTTCTTCTGGGCGACAGTTGGGGTGAGCTTCTATGTTTCCGCCTCATGCATGTGAAACCGATCCGACCATTGCTCTTGGATCGCAAGAGCGAACACGTTCGTGGGCGGTCAGAGGCGGCCGCAAACCCAATCGCTGAAGTCAGAGGACTTAGACTTAGACCCACCAGATCCACCAGTGGCCCCAGGCCATGAAGATTGGATGAAACTTGCGATTTAGCCAGACACTCCCTAAGACTGCCATATTTGCCCATCAGTTGGGGTGGTTTCAGGGGTCAATGTAGGCAAATATGCCATACATGGAGTGTTTGGGTAAAAGAGTTTGCCTCCCGTTCCTTAATCCACATGAGATCGGCCTTTCCTGTTCCCCACTAGAATAGCAGCAAAGCAGTTCTCACTATAGAATAACCGAGGCCCATGAAGTGGGGATCGCATGAGTTCATGCATTCCGATTGTCATGCTACTTGGCTGTCAAGGTCCAACAAATCTATATTTGGTTTAGCCTATTTGATTGGAATCCATCCTTCAGCTGGTACTGCTGTTCTCTTGGATGATTTTGTTGTAATGTTTGCCATCCAGGAGCACTTGCCCAGTGGTTCTTTCTATTTTATCCCCACGGTGCCCGTCCTGCTTCTGGTCTACTGCGGCGCGTCCGCCTGGGAGAAGGATGTCACCTTGGCGGTTTCCTGCCCCTCGTCTGCGACACGTTGCCGCGCTGTCCAGCGTGGTGTCCAACCGAAGCCCCGATAGGTGACGCCTCCGGGTGTGTCTTCTGGACAGAAGGTGTCAAAGGACAAGAGGGGCATGAAATTAATCCCATCCCCAACTCTAAATCGTTGGAACTGACTTAACTTACAACAATTGCAGAAGCCCTGGTTTATACTCCAGACGGCTTGCCCCAAAAAACCGGCCAGGTTCACCAGGCTATCCCGGGTGGCAAAACGCCCAGCAGGATCTTAGACTTCAAAGATCACTCTTGGAGAACCTGCGACCTGACAGACTTCCTGGCAAAAACAAAACCAGAGTCTGTTCAGTTCAGCTGTTGACATTGGCCTTCCACTTCTGCCATGAAAAGCTCAAAGTTTACATTCAAATCTTCATGCAAGACGACATAAGCCTTTCAGATTTAATGTGCCACATGTCCACATGATGTGCTATTTCATCCCGTGCACCGCATGATGCTTCGCATGATGCCCTCAGACCAACATCTTTCGACCGATCCCGAGACCGATCCAGGCTGCATTCCCCCCATTTTCATGTCTTTGGAGATGACTTTGGAGTCACCTGGAGAAAACCACATTCGCGGTGGCGGAGGGTAGATGAAGGTTGCGGCTTGAAGTCGGGTGTCTTTGGTGGAGTCCATCGAAGAACGGCACTGAACATAATTTAGCAGAGCCACCTGGGATGAATTGGCTGTTGATGAATAGCCCGATGGTGAGATGTTATAAGTTATTATGAGATGTTTGGACAAATCTTGTTCGTTAGCACAGGTGTTGTGATTGTTGTGCACATGGTGGGGTCAGTGTTTGTGTCTATGCCAGGTGCAGGATGTTTTTTTCTACACTTGGAGGTTTGCCCTTGCCACCTCAGACGAGCATGAAGCTGAGCATGAATCCATTGTGCATGTTGAGCCTCAAGTGACTTAA